TTGTAGTAAAAATATTTTTTATAAATATTGTATCCGCTCTTATCATGTTCTGTTTTTATTAGTTTTGAAAAATTATGATTGTCCACGAGTCGATTACGCCGTCGGGCGTACGACCGCCAACAACCTAAGAAGTTACGGGTCCCCCGGTCTTGTTTAGTCCTGTGTCGGTGAATGATACTTTCATCTTACTGTTCATCATGTCCCAGGATTGGGTCCTGATATCGTAGGATAAAATATCATTTTGTTCTACCACCGGCGTGTCTTTGTTATCATCTCCCTAAGCCCCAAAAACAAAACCGACCTACTTGTGACCTTGTTTGATGGTTTCATATATATAGCAAAAGGCTATATATGGGCACTTATGTGTCGGACATAAGCACCGAAAACCGAACCAAGAAACAAGAAAAAAAAAAAATAAAAATAAAGATGAGAGAGGAGAAACTGATCCATCCAAAAGATCCAAAAGGCGAAGAGTGAATCGTCCCTCAAAACTTATGACGAAAAGACTTGAAAATGAGGGCCCAAAATCTTTGAATCAACCGAAAAAGGATATCATTTTCTCAAATTTTATAAATGGATCAACCCAAGAAGGGTATCCCTTCCAAATCTTGTTTCGAACAGGTCGAAACAGGCCCGAATCAATGTGACGAGAATCACGAATCAATGTGACGATTATATATGCGGCTCCGCCACCACTTACATATTCACACACCCAAGCTTGAACTCAAATGTGACATTCATGTTATCCAAACCTTAATGTCAAACTTCCAAAAAGATACTCTTTCGTGAATGAGAATTTTATGAGCTTTCAAATCCTTCATGAATCCGATCCACATCAATTTTATGCTCCCCAAAACGAAGTTCTAAAGGCCTCTAAGTTTCACAAATCGAACAAAAGGGATGTAATTTTCAAACGGCCACTTTCTAACCTCCAAAACCTCGCATGTAACATCAAACCTTGATTCTCACATCAAAATGCCACTGCTAATAGCTTCAAAATCGTAACTAAAAATGTCTTACAAAAATATACTTCAAAGGCTCCAAAACTGCAGCACAAAAACCTCAAAAAATCGCGGTTAAACATTATCAAATAAAGCCTCAAACTGCAGCTACCAACCCCCCAAAATCGTAGCCAAATACTACCAAATAAAGCCTCCAACTGTGGCTCGAAGTCGCAGCCAAACACGCCTCAAAGCTGTCCCAAACATCTAAAAGATCATCTTATGGAAAAAGAGCATTTGAATTCTTTAAGTAACAAGAATTGAAGTATTTCACCTTGCAAACATTAAAGCCATTCAATTCCATCTTAAATTGAAACTTTCCAATGAGATATAAAGCCAACACCATATAGAGGAACCCAAACAGATGCTCTCGGGTAGGAGCAACAGAAGAAGCCATCAACCACACTCAATCACAAAGGAGCCACAGGAGAAGGCTCACGGCCAGGGGCAGCAAGGAGAGAGCCAAGCCCAAACCAACCATGACACAAACTAAGGAACCACAACAGAAAGGCTCACGGCCAGGGGCAGCAAGGAGAAAGCCAAGCCCAAATTCAACACAAAGGAGCCACAGGAGAAGACTCACGGCCAGGGACAACAGCACAAAAAAAACCACTATCCACATTCAACATAAAGAGCCACAGGAGAAGACTCACGGCCAGAGGCAGCAAGGAGAAAGTCAAACCCAAACCAACCACATTCAACATAAAAGAGCCACAGGGGAAGGCTTACGGCCAGGGGGAATAAGGAGAAAGCCAAACCCAAATTCAACACAAAGGAGTCACAGGGGAAGGCTCACGGCCAGGGACAGCAGAGAGGAATTCGAGCCCAGGACATTCACAAAGAATTCATAGACAAGGAATCACGGCCAAAAGGGGGGCTCACGACTAGGAACAACAAGAAGAAAGCTAAGCCCAAATTAACCACAACACAAACCCCAAACCAAAAGCTCAAGACCTTACTCAAAACCTTAAAATAAAATCAAACTTAGCTGCTCATACATTTCAAACCAAGAAAGCAGCAGTAAGGGCCAAAGCCAAACCAGCAAAATCAGCTCCAAAAGGCTAAGAAAAAGATAATTGTTTTTTATTTAATGTATTATGAATAGAGAAGGCAGTAAAGAAACAACAAAACAAGGCCCCAAAGCAAAGCTTTCAAAGAGCTTTCAAAGCTCCCAAAATTAAAAAGCTCCCGAAATTAAATTAAAAAAAATAACCAGCATATACTTCGAACAGGGGCAGCCATGGGAAGTTAAAACCGAGACCTGCTAGTGGCCAAAACCAAGCAGCCATTCAACTAAACTGAGCCCACCAAAGGGGCCAAAACAGAGCCACCAAAAATCAGATTCCACAAAGCCTTAAAACTCAAAATTTGCACTCAGCATATACTTCGAACAGGGACAAGTAACAGGAAACAGAGAAACACAAGTGAGTCCCTAAAGCCAACATCCCAAAGCATCGAAACGAATTCCAACATTCCAACATATATTTGAAGAGGGGTAACAATAATAGAGAGCTTGAGAATCAAGTCCCAAATCAACATTTCATTTAGCACGCATTTCAAATAGGTAAATAGCATCATAGAGCAAAACTGAGACCTCCAAATAGGTTCCTAATAAATTTGAAAAAATAAATTTCCATCCAACATGCATTTCGAGCAGAAAAAGGCGGCCGCATGGATTATGTTCCAACTCATTAATCCTATAACCATTCTCATTCTTAATGTTAAGCTCAAATAAATCTTAAAGTAGCCTTAATTTCCCAATTCCAGGTGCATTAGAAAGAACATGCATTCAGGAGCAATTCCAAGTGATGCAGATTAGAAGAAGGAAGAGGGTTACCTTTTGATGAAGATTCAAAGCAAACTCAAGAACAAGCCTAAGAAAATAAAATCAACAACACCTCCCTTAAGAACCTCGATGGAAAAGCACAAATCTTCTAAAAATAAGCCTCGAGAATACAGCAGCGAGATGCCTTAATTTCTCACAGCGAGATGCCTCAATTTCTCTTTTCCTCTCAAAATTTTCAACAACCCACCATCATGTCGTAGAGAGGGCTTTTATAAGCAAGGAAAGGGGACAAGGCCGCACCTACCACGGTGTCGTGGCCGAATGAAGTAACGGGAAAAGAATCGTCAGAATCGTCACCATAAAGGAGGAAAAGGTAAAGCCTCGAGAAGAAGAAGGGTTGGCCAGCCGAGCTCGCGCGATTGGAGAGTCTAGCGGTTGAGCGACCACGCGAGGAAGGAGAAGAGTCGAGAGAGGGGGGAGATTGCCGCGTGGATAAGTCATGGGATTTAGGGCACGAGAGGGGGCGAGCCGAGCGAGCCACGACCGGGATGGAATGAGGGTCACGCACGCGGGTAGGGATAAATAAGATTTAGAATTATAAATATTATTATAATTAATAATATAAATATAAAAATATTTAATATTTCCAAAATAATATTTGATTCATACTTTTTATTCGTGCATCACAACATAACAAAATGGATATTCTTCTTAGGTAATTCTGACGTTCCGGACGCGTTGACGTGGTCCGTTTCATCGTCGGATGTCATTTTGACAAATTTATTGATTTGCGTGCAATTTGCTCGTGTACGAAAATTATAGCATTATAAGTGTCTTTCCTAGCTAAAATTGATGTCCCTGATGTGTTGGCGCAGTCCATTTCGCCATCGGATGTCATTCGGAGAAGTTCGCATTTTCAATCATCCTTTAAGCTCAATTTTAGTCCGATCTTGTGCAACTTACTGAATTTTGTGCATTTTGTGTGTATGTGTGATGATAAAGTCCTGAAGAGGTTTTCCTAGCGCTTGAGATCCTATTGGGAACTTCTCCTTGAGTCTCCACATGATAGTCCTTAACCACTCGACCATACGACGATAGTTTTGAGATCATCAATGCGAGACATCACAAGAGAAATAGAAAGTGGCTGGAATTTATAGGGATGGATTCCAATACTAGTCCTCTAAGATAGTCAATAGGAACCCCTAGAGCTAGATCCTAGGATCCTAAGGAAAAGAGTAATGACCTCAAAATGAGGTCAACGGTGCTCGTGTTGGAGCACTCCTCAGATGGGTGACTTTGTGGGAAGTTACACTAAAGGGACAAAACCGTGAGGCTACTAAGCCAAAGCGGACAATATCTCAAAGGGTAAGAGTTCGAGCTATTACAAATGGTATCATAGCATCACATCGACTTGAAAATGAGAACTAAGTTTCATGCAGTACAAAGTGATATGCCATGGGAGCTACCTCTTGCACTTGAATGGGATAATGTGCGATATGGTGGGAGCCACCTCTAGAATCCCTATACGCTTGGTGGATGATTTTGGGGCTAGTAGTGTTGACGAGGATGTCAGTTACTTAAAAGGGGGAGATTGTGGAACTCCTTAAGTAGAACGAAGCAATACTTTTAAACTTCAAGGCATCTTTTTGTGTAATAGTTAGAATTTCACCTGAAACTTCAAAGTTAAGTGTGCACGGGACTTCTTGTTTGTATAACTATATTGAAATTTTATCTGATATTTCTTATTCTTAAGGCGTGTTCTCTAATTTATGTTGTATATAATTATTTTAAGAACTGATAAAAAGGCTATATTATTACACTACGGCACAGAGATGATCACATGCAAGCTTCTTTTGAAATTTTTGTTATGATTTATGCTTATTTTTTGAGCATACTATTACATATCGTGGATCTCACCATTTTACTTTACATGCAAGTTTTATATATCTCTCTAATAGTAATTTGGTCTGAATACTGTTTGTCATTTTTCTCTAAATAACAATATAACTGGCATATTTGTCCAATTATGGGTGCATCATATTGAGTTTTCGCCTACTATGGTTCTTCCATCAGTATATGATTACTTTTATGGAGGATCTACTTTAAACAAATAACATTTTGAATTTGAATGAACTTTATGTTTTGTTGGACCAAAAAGAAACCCTTATATCAATTTTAGAACTAAATTGATTCAATGGACGATTATTTAACAGGTTGGTCTCTGTGTAGCTCTCGTTTTCACATTTCCAATCATGATGCACCCAATTTATGAGATTGCAGAGATGAAGCTGACATCCATCCAATGGTTTCAAAAATTCCGCTGCAATGCCTACGGCGAGCGCCTTTGCCTCCAGGGAGCTCGCATGCTAGTTCTATTGATCGTTGCCTTTATAGCCTCCAGCATACCTGGTTTTGGGGCTTTCATCTCACTTGTGGGCAGCACACTCTGTGCTCTGCTTTCCTTCGTCTTGCCGGCCACATTCCATCTTTTGCTCATGGGATCCAATCTAAAGCTCTGGCAGAAAGCTGCGGATTACCTTATACTCCTCGTTGGGCTTTCTTTTGCTGGCTATGGTACATATCACGCACTCACTGATCGCCACAATTAATGGAAGGTGCTTTTCTTCTCTATATCTATTTTCCTCAAGTTTGCTATTACTGAAATATGGGAGCGTGCTATCCTAAGTTTTGAGTTTCTGGTTGAAGAAAAATGCTTCCGAACTGTATTCAGTTAGATCTGATCAGTTTCTAAGGATGCATTTCGTTACAGTGCTTCTTCCTCCAGAGAAATTGCATTGGTTCTCCAGCTTTTGGGTAAAATCTCCCTTGAGCAAGATCTTAATTCTCATGTAATGCCTCCCTTGAGCATCTGCAGTTATTTATGCCTATGATGAAATCCGTATGTGCTTCTCAAAACCATCTTGTTAGTTTTGGTACTATTTTTTCTTTTTTTCTGTATTGGAGAACTGTATTATGGCTGGATTGGATCAAATAATGTTTTGATGCATGGATTTACGATTTATTATTTTTTTTGAACAAGCTAAGCTTTGTTGAATCCTTAGGTCTTCGTGTGCCATGATAGAACTTTATTAAGAGGAGATTACGAATACTCAAGAAAGGAATAAAAGAGGAGCAAAATCCACTAGTAAATGGTTCAGGATATTATAGAGTAGAGAGGAGATGAGTAGAGAAAAAATCGATCATTTAGCTCTCTCCAAGATTAGTTTTTTATAGGTTAGGATATGGGATCTCGAGTAGTTACAGGGAAAGTTATAGAGTGATCAATACAAATAACAAAAGACTAAAAATATGAGGTTGATTTTCCTGATATAAACTCAACCTACGGCAAGGAAAAAGAAGATTTGGCTTATTTGGATCGTAGCTTGATCATTATCAAAATCGGCTTATTTGGCTTGGCCAGCTTATGAAGGTCAGTTATAAGAGCCTTTAGCTTGGCAAGGAAAAAGAACACTAATTGTTGTCAAGTAAAATCAATCAAACAACCAAAATGAACAAAAGATTTACGTAGAGAAACTCTCAAAAGAACAAAAAAAATTTATGGGAGAGCCGGAACAATAACTTCACTAATTAAAAAAAGTTGAAACCTCTAAGTTTTTTTTTTTGACTTCTCACATATTCAACTTTATGACATGTGATGCATATTTATAGAGTTAGAAAAGAATATATTTGATTGAAAATATATGAAGCTTTAAATATATTTGATAAAAAGATTTAAGGTATTATTTTACAATTTTTCTTATTGCCTTTAATATGCCTTGAACAAATTTTCCACATCCAGCATGAATCATAAGGTATAACATGGATTTCGATGCACCTTTTTTAGCAAAAATGTTCAAATTTTGATTAACAATTATCCAGAAGTTCGATCTCAGCAAACTTATAATCAAACTGACCGGATCGACGAGACGGACCCAGAACGATACCAACTTGGTCCAATCCGAGTCAAATCAAGCTCATATCAAGTTATTAAACCACGCTTGAAAACTTTCTAGACATATTTGAAATGTCAAATGGATGTCGAATCTGTGAGCTCATTGTCGAATCGAGTGTCTAAACAAGTCGAATCCAATGAGCCCAAAATCAATCAATTCTGACATCGTTAAGGCCCTCAAATGTCTACCGAACACCACCCAGTTAAGGGAAATTCAAAGTGGTTGATATTCTTTCATTAATTACAACCGGGACTCTATAAATAGAGCCACATCTCGCTCATGAGGGGAGAACGAAGGTTGAGACCTGAGGAAGTGCTTTAAGCTTTGAGGAGCTAAAGTTCAAAATTACTCCTGTCATCGCCGACCATCGTAAACCATCATTTTTCGGCCGCCATCGATCATCATCGATCGCCACCCATTTCTTGTGACATGTTCCTCCGTGCATTGATGTTATAACTCGAGAGACTTTGTAACACTTTTTCGTTCTGTGGAATAAGGGGTTGTACTTGTAATCTTTAGTTTATAGTGGATCTCTTCAAATGACCAGACTCCATGGTATTTTTACTTTATGAGTTCTCTACATAAAAACTTCTGTTGTCACTACTGGTCGTTTTCTTTCTTTTAACTGTGTGTTAGATTCTCGTTTAAAGCTAAGACGATAATTCATTATTCTACCGCTACAAATCTTCTAGCACGCATTAAATTGACACCGTCTGTGAGAAACGATGTCGTGTTCAGCACTGTCTTCAACTCTGAGACATCGAGACCCCCCTACTTTGTTTCCCAATGACGTACATCATTCAACTGACAAATAAACCATCTTTGTATTTTGAAGATAATCTCTGAAGCATTCTTCAATATGAGGGGCAACCTTGATTGCAGTCTCAAAATGTCGTTCATGTCAATGTCCTGAGCACGATTGTAGTGTGGTTGTCTTCTCGCATTATATTTAGACACAAGGCTTTCACAACTTCTTCCAAGCTAAAAAGCAACATTCACTGCAGTCTCGAAAGGTCGATCACTTTAACGTCCTAGGCATGATTGTAATAAGATAGTCGTCTCATGCTTCATTCAGACATCAATTCCTCAGGAACTACTTCCAGATTGGGGGCAAATCCACAAATAACACTTTCTCAGTGTCCCCCACCATTCTAGGTTCTTCCTCAACCATGTCAAGGAAATGATATCTTCAAGGTTCAATACATGGACCATTTTACAAGCTCGTGTAGAAAATACACTCGTCGGAGGAATAATGAATTCAAATGCAGCAATGACCAAGTTGTCAAACATCATTCTTAAGTATGGTTGCAACCATATTTTCAAGAAAAAAATACAATCCATTGTGACCTACGCTTAGTCTCGAGAAATTGGGAGCATCTTTGATACCTCATTCTAGGCTTAATTGATCCCATGGAGACTTGATTTGTCCTCTTCCATCACAACCTACAATTGTCAAGCAAAAGCTTGAACTAATAGCCTCAGATAGGTAAAAAATCCTTAGTAGATTTCCTTTGACCTCTTCTTCCATAACAACTTACAATCGTTAAGCAAAAACGTCGACCAACAACCTAGGATAGGTTTACCATCCTTAGTGTATTTCATATGACTTTGTCTGTTACGGGTTAATGTCGTCGAACATCTCTGGCTATACAATCCAAGACAAGTCTTACAGCCTTAATAGTTTTTATTTTCAACTATGCTCCAACACAAACTACAGCCGTCGAACAGACACGCTTTGACTAACAGCCTCAGAAAAGTCAAACATTCGCAGTGACATACAAGATCTCCAACCATGCCCCTGGAGGTTGACCCCAATAGGCAAGATTCAATAAGAAGATACAGTACCCTCGGAATTCGAGCCAAAGAGGCAAGACTTGATGGGAAGCAATCATGCCCATGAAAGTCAAGCCCAAGAGCCAAACTTGATGGGAAGATGCGGTACTCCTGGAGGTCAAGCCCATGAGGCAAGTCTTGATGGAAAGCTACCATGCCCCTGAAAGACGAACCTAGAGGACAAGTCTTGATGGGAAGCTAGTAGTGGACATTGTCTTCACTAGAAAGACACATCGAAAGCAAGTGGTTGACAAGGTTTCCACTCAAATACCTCAGAAAACAAGCCTCAGAAGACACAAATATGTCAAAAACCTCGGAAAGCTATAAGTTTTAGAATACACAGACACATCAAAAACCTCAAAAGGCTATAAGTTTTGGGAGACATAGGTACATCAAAGAGCTCAAAAGGCTTCCAACCTCAAAAGGCATAGGTACATCAAAAACTTGAGAAGGCTACAAACTTCAGAAGACACGGGTATATCAAAGACCTCAGAAAGCTACAAGCCTAAGAAGACATAGATAATCAAAGACCTCGAAAAGACTACAAATCTCAGGAGGCACAAGTACATCAAATATATCAGAAAGCTACGAGTCTCAGAAGACACTAATGCATTTCAAGCTCTTAAAAGATATAAGCCTAAGAAGACACAAGTATCAAAAGATACAAATCCAAGAGGGTAGAAACCTCAGAAAACACGAGGCTAAAAATGTATGTGATTCTTCTTATATATAAAGTGCACATGCTAACTTTGATTGTAAATTTCTACATGTTTGAGAAGCCAAAAATTCTCAGAAGGCACAAGCCTCAGATAATGTCGGCAGCAAATGTAACCCAAAAATTGGTTAAAAATACCCTAGAAGTGGGACAAAAGCATCCCAGAAGGGGAAACTCTGGCTCAGAAGGAAAGACAAAAACAACCTCAGAAGTAATGTTCAAATTTTTATTGCATCGAGCTAGAGAAAACACATGGATGGACACATCGTCAACATGTACAAATGCCACATTAGATAATTGAAAATGCTACAAAGATCAACATGTACTTGTACAAGGGCTACAACAAATCAACTCATCTTCGAGTGGAGTTGGCATCACCTCACTAAAATTCCAACACTTATGCTGATTTTTAGGGGGTCTTCAGATATCGCCACCATAGAGGCCTGAGAATCTCGCCATTAAAGTGTGGTGGGAAAATTCTAGGATCTCATCTCCACCGGATGCGCAGCAGCAATAAGCAAAAAGATATTGAGTCACCTGTTGGGCAAGGACGGGGATAACTTTCTTCATCTCATCGGTGCGAAAGAAGATCTCGTTGATCCCGTGCTACATAGGACGAGGACGATTTTTCTCTACACCTTCGAGAAAGAAGATCTTGTTGATCGCTTGCTACACTGGACGATGACGACTTTTTTCTATACTAGAATTCGAAAAAAGATCATGTTGATCGTTTGCTACGTTGGACGGGAATAACTTTCTTCTGCACCGCAACGCAAAAGAAGATTTCGTTGATCGTCTGCTACGTAGAGTATGGATGATTTTTTTCTGTGCCACAACATGAAAGAGGATCCTGTTAATCATCTACTACGTAGGACGGAGACGAATTTATTCTGTGCCCCAACATGAAAGAGGAGCTCGTTCATCGATTGCTACGTTGATCGGGGACGACTTTCTTCTTTTGGGAAATCCCAGATTATATATATATATATATATTATATTATATTTTTTTTGGGGAAGGAGCTTTATTCGGCTCCGTATATATTAATCATTGAAAAAAGTTACTTCATGGGTGTGGAAGTGAAACCCCACAACTAAAAACCCAAAATATACAATACGCACACCGCCTAGGTGGTTCCAACTCCACTAGTACAACTCACACCAAAAAAGAGCATCCCAAAAATCATGTAAGAAGAGCATCCCAAAAATCATGTAAGTACACATACATGTATATTTATATATTATTTAATTTTGTGTGTGTGCAATAATAAAAAATACAATATTCTGAATCATGATATTTTCGGACGACAAAATTGGTCTCTGATGCACTTTCAATAAATTTCCCACATCCTGCAGTAATCTTAAGTCATGACACTAATCTTGATGCACATTTTTTAGCAAGAAATATTCAAACTTTGATTAAGAGTTATCCAAAAGTATGATTTCAGCAAACTTATAGTCAAATTGATCGAATCGATGAGACGGATCCACTGATACCAAAATTTGTCTAATTTGAGTCAAATC